ACAGTCAGTGTTACACACCGAGCCCAGGGCCGCGCTGCAGGGGCCTCGCTGCAGGGGCCGCGCTGCAGGGGCCCTCTCCTCCTACACCAGTGTCATGTCTCTGGTTGGAGCCTGTCTGTCAGCCGGGTTTGACGCGATGACGTCGGGGAAACGTTGGAAAACCATTCTTCTCGATCTTGCATTTTCTATCTCGAGTTTTGATGATTTGTAAATAAACAGAGCTGTGATAGAAACACTGGTATGTTGAATTGGACTAAAGAGACATAAATACGTTGCTGTTATATCATTTTTGATGGATCTTTTTGTGTCAGATCATTTAATAGTCATTTCTCATATTTACAAGAGCACAGGTTTTATCTCACAGTTGTAATTGGGATTCTAACTGGTGGTGTAAGTGCTTCTTTGTCCTTATGCTTAAATTATCCCTATTTCTGTTCATCTTCCATGTCTTTGATGCTGCAACAAGCTATTTCCCATGAGGGGACTTTCATCTTATATAACCAATGCATAGAATTCATGCATTTCGAAAGTGATGTACGTAAATGTAGTTCATGCACACACTAGACATGTATGTTCCCGTGCTCATATTTCAGTATTTCCTTTAAAATGTGGCCTTGTGCATTTCCGTGTTGTCTATATGCTATATCAGTTTAAATGTTCCTACATGTGCCAGCTGAGTAAAAGCACTGTGGAGCAATATAAAGGAGATGGAAAAGTAAAAATTGCCCACATGTTTTACCTTTTCCTCCACATTTGGTTGAAGACGGCGCACAGTGCTTGAGTTTGAAGCTTAAAGACCCCTTGCAGAGTTCAGTCCAAAGCTGGACCTTTCCAAGGACATCACAGCACATGATATATTATGAGGAGAAGCAGCCTCTGCTTTTGAAAGCCTTCCCCATCTTTTTCATCTGGAAAGGGACAAAGATGGATCCATTTTCCAGCAGACATGATGTTGCGTGTTGCTGTGTGTCTGCATGGGGTACTATGGTAGTGCTTTTTCCATATTTCCATGGCCCTGAAGCTTTTCTGCTTATGTCACGCTATGGCTGGCTTCACACATTACAGAGACTCTTACTGCATGAGTGTAATAGCGAGGACAGTGTGTTATAGAAACCTGGTGATTATGACCTGCTGTGAACAGCTCACTCTCTCACACACACCACGTCGCTCCATCTCCCTCCCCTCTGTCTTTCTCTCGTGGCCACTTTGATCAAATCTGTGCTCTTACGTCCTTGACTGCTGCCCCCGATGCCTGACCCCTGCATTTGAAATTTCCCCGCTTATGTAAAAGTTTATGTAGATTAATGCCACAATTTATGCAGATTGAGTTTTTGCCACTCAGGCTTGAAGCACTAAAAGGTAGATGAGCGCTGACCTTCCCCGCTAACAGCTACGTGAGCTCTCACCGATTATCTCATAACTGCTACACAGTGTTAGTCCAGTGGCAGACAGAGAGATGGGGGGCAATTTCAGAATTCATATTGTTCCATTTTGAACTTTTTTTTTTAACAATGTCACTTAAAACAAGGCTGTCTTGTTGTAAAAATTGCATTTTGGAGGCTTAGTAGGTGCAGTTTGTGTCACAATGGATCGCATACAGACGTGATTGTCCCTTTAAAACGTATTGCTATCAAACTCAAACAAGTGGCAGCAGTGGCATCAAGCAGCCGTCTGTGTGTCGAGCCTCCACAGAGCCGTTCACTCGCATGTGGCAGCAGCGTTGCCGAAGTTGAACAGTCAAGTGTCATCAAGAGCAGTTTGCCATAGAAATGGGTCCATCTGAACGCAAACAAAGGGCTGGCATTTGTCTCGACCTGCTCCATGTAGGCTAAGTGTGCACTGGTCTGTCTGATACTGGAAAATGGCTCAATCTGAGCAGACAAAAGCAGGAGAGTATAGAGAGTAGACATTAAATGTCACTGGTATAACTTCCCCTGGCTTTGTAGGAGGGGAGAAGGTGTTACATTCAACTGTGACTTTCAGGTTGAACGTAGTACTAATATAGCAATGAGAGGGTAGAGTCAGGCTGAGGTTTTGGATGTAAAGGTATTTGTATTTTATGATCATTTTTTGCCTTCGCCTTCATTCTAAGTGAACATAGTATTTTTAGTTCCCTATAAAGAACTAGCAGAGCAACTTTCTGATGTCACATTGGAGGTCTGTTGCAGGTCTGTCCCCGCAAGTAGCTCCCTGTGGTGTTTCTGATGATCATACCGTTGCTTTTTTTTTTAAATTAAAGCCTCCATCAGGTCACCAACACTGTGCCTTTTTACACAAACACAAAGTGACCTGCCAGTCACACAGTTAAGACAAGGTGTCAGATGAAGTTAGTGCTGAAATTAGCTAAAAGCCCTGGCTGGGACTGAGGTCCTATTGGGAGAACAGCTGTTCCCTTTTCACTTTAACTCCTCTCTGCATGAATGTGTGTGTACTTAAAGCAAATGCATTTGTGTGTGTGTCTGCACACTATGTATATCTGTGGCAGCGTCCTGTGGTTGACCTGAGCAGTGTCTCTTCCGCCTTCTTTGATAAAGATGCTGCAGCCTACAGTAGCTTGGCAGCATGTCGGCGTGTCATGATGTTATCCCTGATGCCTCAGCCAGATGTTTACATTAGACCCATTTAACCTCCTAGTCTCAGGGCAACTGCGATGTTAAATTCAGATATTCAGAATCAAGCTAAAGCTCCCCAGAACAATAAAACACATTAAAGGTTCATTAGCAGTAGTTTATTTCAGGTTAAGCCACTTAAAACAAGAGCACATCTTCATTGCTTTCAGTCTGAGAGGCAACCTAAAGATGAGCTTTAGTGAAGGTGGGAGAATACTGGAAGGGGGGGTTCAAGTTGTGTTTGCATTAAAGGGGACCTATCATGCAAAATGCACTTTTGTACATTTTTTTATACATGAATATGTGTCCCCGGTGTGTCAGGGAACTCACCAAGTGTCAGAAAACACAACCCTCTCTCTTTTCCTCCATACCCAAATCTCTAAAAACGGGGCTGCAACGGAGCTGATTATTATTTGAATTTTTCTGACGTCAGAAAAGGGTTGCTCCGCCTATATGGGCAACTCTCCACCTATCAGGGGAATGAGAGACCGCTAGAAAGCGCTGGAGACGCTGTAGTATATATGCCAGGCCTGTAAGTGGCGCTGTAGTCTGCCACAAAAGCAGAATCAGCCCTTGCAAAAACAGGGCTGGAAAAGAGCAAATGAGGCATGGCTAAAATGCATGATCTGTTTGGTATTTTGAAAAAAAAACTTCACAGACATGTTTTATATAGGCATGGCCCTACAATATATGTTTCAAATATAGCATGATAGGTCCACTTTAAGTTTTTCAGTCACTGTGTGCACTTTGAATCAAACCCTATGAAAACTACACGACAACGACTACTACACTCGACTGCACTCTTGTCCTTGTGGGAAGTGTACTTACTATAAGAGACACATTGACAGATCCTCTTAAAGACACGTCATTGTTTGAAGTGTTGATGGAGTGAAAAGTTTTGCTCTGTCGCTGTTAAACGTATCAAAAAAGTATTACAGGCAAGCATTCAGTTTAGTTTTTTTTTACATTTTTATTCACAGCGATCTTTTCAAGAGCTTTACATTTCATTGTGGAAGTTACTTGTATATAAATGACTGAAGTTATACTTACTAAGGGCTGTGTGATCTGATCCTGTAAACCTCTGCCCCCCCCCCCCAGGCTCGGTCCTCCTGCAGCAGACTGATGGAAACGGGCACACTGCTTTGGATCTGACCTCTGAAACTACTCAGAGGGAGGAGCTTCTCCACAGCGCGCATGTCGGAGACTCAGCCCTGAGAAACTTCTCCACTGAAGTCTTGAACGTGCCCCTCCTGGAGGCTGCATCCTCTCTGCTGGCCAACCTCATCTTCACCTACCGGCGGGAGCAGGGTCTGCCTCACCATGGCGACAGTCTGAGCATCACGCTGGTCAGGGCCCTGGAGACACACTCCCCCCAAAAGGTGACTTCGGGCTGGACAGACCGGCGGGTGGTGAGGCTGGTGGAGGACGCAGAGACGCTGCTGGAGCTCGGCAGAGGGGGCTACCTGGGGCAAGTGTCTCAGGCAGTGAGAGAGTGCAAAGAAGAGAATACACTATTCCTAATGGAGATACTGGAGGATTTTAAGTATCGGGGGGAAATGCTTCTCGCTGATCTGTAAATCAGAAACAATGCACAACATATTGTAAAAGCTTGAAACATGAATGTGCAACATGTGGTTGAAATGCTAACAAAAGGGTATCTGTGTCTGTATCTGTTTTATTCAACAGTTTATAAGGATGAATAATATAAAGAGGCCTTTTCCTCCACAATAATTTGGCCTTCTCCTGTTTTCGGGTAAATGGGTTGGATGCTTTTCTTAATTTAGCAGTATTTTCATTTCTGCAATAGGTCATGGACCATACATTTATTATGTGTTCCTGAAAAGTGTATCTAAGTTGCAAGTTTTTTTATGGCTACATTTTTGTATAGTTTGTTACTACCTCAGGTTTTTGATATGTATATTTTTTTCACAGATTGATGTGCACTAATATTTATCACAAATAAAATAATTGTTCAAACATCTTGATGGCATTAAATCAGCAGGATGGTCAGGTTTTAGACAGCAATACATCGGGAGGAAATGGCTACTGCAGTGTAGGGCTAAAGGTGCTTTAACAAATGGAGTGGCTTCATGTGGGGGCTGTAATGAAAGAGAGAAACCAGTTCTGGCAGAAGTGGTCCCAGTCTGAGGCTCTGATGTGCACTCAGTGTCTCCGCCACACAGACAGCAGTGAGGAATGAGCCACTTCCTGAAGCTGAACATGAGTGAAGAAGGGGCTTAGGCCTGCTTGTTGGGGTGGGTCGAGTGGGCGGTGGAGCAACAGAGGTGAGGAGAAGGGATTTAAGATTTCAGACTGAGATAAATGGACATATATTTCCCTTGCTGCTACCAGTGTAGGCTGAGAAACGAGCTTGTTGAAGCAGAAAACACATTTTGCAATAATCCAGACACTCTGAAGATGATACAAAATATTTAATCTCATGTTCTTTTTCAAAATAAGCAACATACATCAGATGCATTTCATTTCTCAAACAGGAAATATACATCATATTTTCTTTTCCCACTCCTGACCAACCTATGTCTCAGCTCCTTATTTCTGTTCTTGGTCAGAACTGGGCACATGAAGATGAACAGGCAGGCAACGTTGCAGGCGGAAAAAGACAGATTTTATAAAATGAGGCAGGCATACACCTACTTTACAACACCAGACCATCAACAGGCATACTGTATAAAATACAAACATAAATTAAATAGTAAGCTTTGTACAATATTTAAAAAATAAATAGTCTCATTTTAACTTGGTGCAAATGAAAGTGCTTTTTTTCCCTTTACAGCTGTCAGTCTGATACATTCCGTTATATATTTTCTCTACATCATATAAAATAAAAACACTTTGGTTTGCTTGCAAACAGAGCTAAAATCCAATAATAAAAGGAAACGGTATTTGGATGCAATACCACACACTAGTCACTACAATTTGCTGAAAAATAACTACATACAGTAGTAGACACATACAGTACATATCAGGTATTCAAACAGTCCCTCCAGGCCTTCTAAAAAGCCATCCTTCACGAGACAGAGTGTGTTTGTTGAGGAGGCTATAATCAGTCTGAGACGCTGCTCTTAGGGGACAGTCTGTTATTGTCTTTCAAGTGGATTCCTCAAAACAAAATCAATGGCCCTCTGGAGTGACAGATCCAAGCCTGTTGATATTTAAGTATGGAGATGGATGGATAAAAGTGGAGTGGGGGGTACAGCCGATGGCAAGCAGACAGGCAGGGCGAGAGGATGACAAAATGGCAGAGAGGAGCTCTAGTTGTGGTGTGGAGGGGGGGGGGTTAGAGCAATACAGACAGACAGAGACAGACGAAGGGGGAGAGGGAACAAAAAGATGAAGAAGTGGGGGAGATGTAGGCAGGGATCAGTAGGATGAGGGGAGACCTCCTCAAATGTAGCCTGAGCTGTGATCTTTCAACAGATGCTCAGCAAGAAGCCCAGGAGACCGTCCCTTCAGACAGGGTCGCAACCCCGCTCTCTGACGAATGAGGGAACCGCAGAGAGAGCAAACGGAGAGAAGCAGGATGGGAAGAGGGATCTAGAATAGCATAAAACACACACACACATCCCGGACACCTCAGCCTAAGTCCCCTCAGAGCCTCGTCCTGTCACAGAGAGACTTGCTGCTCATCTAGCTGACGGCCCTCTACACCAGCGAACTCCACACCAAATAACAGCTGGCACTTCCGCTGCACCACACACACACACACACACACAGTTCTACATGCTGACACACATCGACTGAATCTAAGCATCAGTCTACAGCTGGAGGGGAGATACAATTGAAACACACACCGGCGCAGGGAAAAGCAATGTGTCTTTGATTGCATAAACGTGTGTACGCAAACACTCTTACATGCACAGTTCACATACACAAGGCTGTGTCTCTGGGAAGACGGATCAAAGTTGAGCTGTGGGCACAGGAGGTGGGGCAGATGGAGAGGGCGGCCAGCCTGGGGCACAGCATCACAGAGAGCATGTTTGTGTGAGTGTGTGTGCCTAAGAGGGAGAGAAAGTGCCTGCTCAAATGGGATCTTATGCTTTCATCTGTGAGCAAGTAGGTACAGTCTGTGTATGCGGAATCTCTTAAAGAAGCAGTGTATTCATGTTGTTGTTGTTTTTTTTAAGATGTCTGCATGCACATATGCGTGCGTTTGAGGGCTTTCTTGTGTGGCCGCTGAGGAAAACACACAGGGAGATGGGAGGAAAGGAGACCAGCCTTTCAAACCAGATTAGGGCTGTGGCTGCCTAAAGGCCTGGCGACACTCTGTAGTGACTGGGCGACATCTATATTAACACCATGACATCAGAAGGCCCTGTCAGTGGGCCCGCTGACGGACTGGCAGGGGATTTTGACGTTTTTAAAGGGTTACACAAGGCTAGTCTATATTATCTGGATAGGTGGCAGTGATAAAGGTTTGGGATAACTCACCAACTGTGTAATACTTAACAGTGTTTCCTTTGGGTATTATCTAATGATGATTATGTAATCACAATCTATTTTAGGAAGAACAGACTCACTGTACTTTAACTAATACCATTGTGGTTCCTGTTTTTGTGTGGGATTAATATCTTTAAAAGAGCACATTTGGCCATTGTTTTAAAGCACGGACAGATAGCATCACAAGCCTTCAGCCTGTTGGTCCAGGTTTGTGTTTGTGTAAAGGGACATATCTGGAGGCTACTACAATAATTGCTCATCAACTTGGCCGGCTGAGTTAAGTGGAAACAATCCAAATTACTGCCAGTGAACATAATATCATTACAGCATCCAAGAGAGAAAACCAAAGATACTTCAGTACAAAAACAATTAAAAAATATTACCAAAATCATTTAATAAATGAGCTAAAAACGAAACGTAAAAGTATATTGCAGAAAGTTAGTATAAGGCTTGTATAAACATGGATGCAGTAAAAATGTATTTTTGCGACGATATGTATAAATGCTTAAACTCGTTGTGTGACACTTGTCACTTGTGGCAAGCAGATGGACAGAGTCCTCCGAGCTGTCAGAGTGATGGAGAGAAGAAAAAGGGATTGGATCCCACGGCTGAGAAAAAGGTCAATCCATCCATCTTTCCAACTCAACATTTAAAATCAATCAAAATCCTAAAAGTGATAAGATTTTTTTTACTTGTCTTTTTTTCTACAAATATTACACTTCAGGAAACTGTACTGTATTGTAGTATACTGTACTGAACGCCATGAGGATTTAGAGACAGAAAAAAAGGTTTAAGAGAAGAACATAGAAAAGGAAAAAAAGGAAAGATAGCTGAGCCGATGTGGTCCAGGCTTCCTCTGCTCCTCAGTGTCCAGTTATAGACCATGAGAAGAAAAGTGGAGAAAAGAAGAGAAGCGTCGGTGGGCGGACAGAGTCATTTTAGTCATCTACCCGGGGTTATTTTTCTTCCTTTTATTTGGACTGGGATTGGGATCCAGTTTCAGCTCTCGGTACTGCACCTGTTAAAACACACAGAAACACACACACACCACCCGGTCAGGTGGAAAGAGCAAAGGATGCTTGAATAGCACAGAAACCCTCCAGAGGCTCTCTGAGTCCAGCTGTGTGGAACAGTGGCCTCAGGGAAGGGATTACACAATGATTACAACACACACACACACACACACACACACACACACACACACACACACACACACACACACACACACACACACACACACACACACACACACACACACGGTTCAAAGCTCCAAATACACAGACGCACACAAATACAAACGTACTTCCGCAGATGTGGGACAGTGGCCTAAGGGAAGGGATCACACAAACAAACAGAGAACAGGGCAAGGCCTCATGGGAAAGCTTGGAGAGACAACACAGTCATCTCAGTATGGCAGGATGGTTCTGAGAGGAAGTGCAGAGAGATGGGAGGAAGACAGAAGATAGTGAAAACAAACTCTAACCCTATTCAAAGTCTGTGTTGGCTGCTAGTTGTGGTGACTACAGTATCACCATGCAATCATGTGTATCACATGTAGCTTGATAGTTTAACCTTATTCTGCATGGCTAAACAGAAACACCATTTTAAACTCTCAGTTCATGTGCAATTTAATTAAGAGACGCCACCTGGCTGTAACTTGATTTTTAACAGACATATGAGACTGATATCAATAAAGCAAAACATTAAAAAAAACTGATGGTTTAATGTCATTTAATAACTACTTTTGCATCACAAAAAGGATATTTTAGTGGCAAATTGTAATCCTTTAAAATGTGCTCAGCATCATCACTGACTGTCACCCATTTATTCCAAAGGGGTCTGATTCCCACTTCATGTGATGCATTGCAGAGATGGTGAGCAGAGTTTAGAAAGGAGCTGCTGCTAAGTGATGGACACTCTGACGCAACAGCATCACAGGGGCTGAGCGTCAACAACCAGAGACTGTCACTCTGGCAGTCTCTCACTTTCAGATGTGTGTGCATGCACACACAAATACAGTCGCTAGCCTAGACAGATTCAAGACACTGACAAGCACTAGCCACTGAATCAGAATACTAATAGAAAGAAAAAACAAGACTTAACAGTCACAGCACCAAAGAGCCAGTGTCGTCTGTGGGATCCTTCCTAGGCTGATGTACTGTAGGCTACTCTGCTGTCTGACTGACTGACACCCTCTCTGATTCTCCAGGCAGACAACAAACTGACGTCAGTATGGTTTCACTGTTCTGTCTCGTGGTGGGTCTGTCTGCTGTGGACGGGAACAGCAGCGTGTCTCAGCACTGGCTGGGAACGCGCCTTTATCATCCATCTTCTACTGGTTCCCACTGTCGCTTCAATGACGCCTCCCAGTATCCTCTGCCTGATTCAGTGTTTACAAATCTGAGATGCAAAGAGGCTGTGCTCACCAGTGAAGACACATGCAGACACATATGAATACCTGCAAGGAGAATGTACCAACATACACACACACACACATCGGCACTTTCCACATCATGCAGACACACAAAACCCTGCCACTGCGGTATCATTAAAATCTCATAGACATCCACTGACTGTACACACACATACAGTACAATGGGGTTGTTCAGTTCCTCAGCGGTGGTCACCGATGTCTCGTTACGGTGCTTACAGAGCGGTTAGGCCAGCATGTGTTGCTCTGTACGCCTCACTAGGCAGCCAGACTGCACTGATACAGATCTGAATACTCCTCACAGTCCACAAGGCAAACTAACATCCTTCTAAACAGCTGTACAAATAAAAAACGGTTAGTTGGATACAGTGAGAGAGAAGAGAGTCTGACAAGATATGAGAAAATAATCCAGGTGGAGAAAACAAGGGTGGAGAGGAATGATGGGAAGCGAGATAAAGACGGGACAAAAATAGATAGGAAGATGAAGGGAGGAAAGGGCAGAGGGCGGGACAAACCAACAGAAGAGACAGGAGGAAAAACAAAGGGTGAAGAAGAGACTGGTTGAGAGAAAGGGAGATCTGCGGACACTCGGGTGATGACAGATACTGTTCTCATGTGGGTGTGGATCCTTTTATAGCCCTGCCAACTAAAGCAGACAACGGAGCAAAAACCCAGGGGACAGAGAGGGTTTTATATGGCCCCATCTGTGTGTGTATTTGTGTGTGTTTTTGGGTATGTGTGTGTGCAGTGGTAGTTGGTTAGGGGACCATGACAGTCCTGGCAGAGTGCCCACTTTGACTGGGATTAATGACGGTTGTGCGTCAATGGATGAACAAGTAAAAAATGGTTGAATGATTTCATTCACACGACCGAACGAGTAATCTGCATGTAGCGCCATATAAGAATGTCCCTTAATATCAAATAATTGCTAGCATATTCACAAAACAATTCCCCTTATTAAAAACGTTTTCCATATGCAACTCATTCTCACTCGTCGTTTACTTTCAACTTTAAGCTAGCTTCTGTGGATCCAAAAGTAGGACAGGTTTTGTGCGGGATCACTGGCTGTTGGTTGTCCCATTACGCGGCCAAACGCCTACAGCAGCAAAAAGGAACACGGCAATTTAATTCTGTGTGTTGACATTCCTGTCCAAACAAAACTATTTGTGAGTGCAGAAAAACAAAGAAAAGTTTGCATGTCAGTAAAAAGTAGGGTTTTGTTTCTCATGAAGTGTAGCGAAGGGGACCGACACAAACAAAGGGTGCAAGAAAAAAACAATATCTCAATCAAACAGGAGTTTTCTCTGTGAAGAGCTGCCAGCCGAGAGAAATGGGGCTCATGCGTCACAGGTTCGATTCCACCTCACAGGTGACAGGTGCCTGCCTGATGCTATACCCTTGGCTCCCCCGCTCACCTCACCTAATAACTCACACAAGCACACAGCAGCACACACAGGCACCAAACCCATGCTGACAACAAGAGCTAGTTAAAGTCAAAAAGAGAAGAAAAGGCAGAGGAGGCGAGGAGAAAGTGGGACGTTAGCAAAATAAAAGAAACTGGAATTGGGTGAAAGTAAAAAGTGTGGTAATGCGGCGAGCACATAAGCAATTTGGTAGCGCGAGTGGGGAGCTTAAAGGGAACATCAACAGGAGAGGCAGTGGGTAAAGACCCAGCGCTGCTCAAAGGGCTGCTCCACCCTCGCTCCTCTCCCAAATGTTGACAGTACAAGTGCAAAACAGGCTTTGAAGTGTGCTCTGCCGAAGGGGCGCCGTGTACCGTGCTTCGTTTAACGGTGTTACCCACAAAGCAACCCGGGACCTGCTCCTCTCTCACTGTCTCTCATTCTTTCTCTCCCTCTCACATTGAACCTTTGACTGTGTTTTGATGATGCCAGTGTGGGCAGACAGACACGGCGAAACACAGGTGGGTGGGTGACAGTGAGAGGGAGAAAAAAGCAAATAGGCGAGTAAATAAATAAAGTCAAAAAAAGCAAAGGAGCAGTATTTTTAATGATACAATGTTATTCTGTTTTGTATCCCTTTCCACAGAGCACAAACCTCAGTGGGTTTCATCTCATGTGACGCCTAATGGAGCATAAGGGTTATTAAATGTTGCCGGGGAAACACTATTGTGTAGAGTTCACACATCTGCAGATCGGAGGATTCAGCAACGTCTTTTGCTGGGAAAGAAAAGGCATGTGAAGGAGACATAAATCAATGAGCAAAAGTTTGCCTATTAGCTGCTTTGGCACGACACATACTGTACTGAAAAGTGACTAGTTAGACTCTTTCAGTGAAATGTTTAAATGTATCACAAAAGTAGGGAAGGACAAAGCGGTGGAGAGAGAGACCACTGCTAGATGTAAGTGATGACATCTGGCAACGTTTCAACCTTTAACTATCATGCCTTTAGCCCCTGTGTGTCCAGTGAGGTTTCTTCCCCAACATAAATGTTGTCTAAAAATATTAACCCGACTCCCCACTGCTCATTAGGCGCTAAATTGGAATTCATGCTTATTTTTGTACTGGGGGTTTGATCCAGCTCCTTTACACCGATCATAAAGGGCCACTTGGCATGCTAATTGCCTTGGCCCTACTTACGCACTCCCTCGCTCACATGGCTAATGGTGTCGTAAAACATACTAGTGTACTGACACCTTCCAAACGCCAGGTAGGGAATACTTAGCACTATAAAGGTGCTCAGTTTGGCCTCGTTTAAAAGGACATGAAGGATTCCCTGATAATGACCATAACGATAGCTTACGCTGGTAAAAAAATACAAACCACATACAAGGAACTGCTTCCCAGAGAGGGACAGTGACTCCTTCACACACACATGCATTACATACCATGCCAGCCTTTTACATTGCTAGTCACAGGGAGACATAATAATTTAAGTTAACTGTTCAGGTGGTAAAAAAGGTAACTCTGCCTGTTGCTGCCTCCATGCACCACTGGGGATTTCGTTTTTAAAGGGTGTTTGACAGTGCTGTTAGGGGCCCAGTGTCATTGATTTAAACAGCTTGTTTGCAAGACCAAAGTTCCTTCCGTTAATGGTACAACCAAAGAGGGTTGTTTGCTAAATGTAAAGTTTCTTTTATGAACCCTGTTTGATTAAAAAGATGAGAAAACTGTGAGAGGTCAAAGACTGTTCCACAGTTACTGGGGTGCCGTACAGCGACATACATTATGACTGTGGCCCAGTGTGGATGCCCTTTGTATATAAAGTCATTATAACCTCATCAGTTCTTGCTGCACTGAAGCACCTCTAAATGATGCGGAACACCGCACTGAAACACACACATGCACTACTGCTGAGAGAGCATGTGTGTGTGTGTTTATGTGTGTGTGTTAGGTCACACAAGGGCCCTGAAATAGCACTTCATTAGTCATCCAGGGTATCAGGCATAGTGGGTCCCTGCACCAATGCCAGTGGGTGCCATGGCCACGTGCCTGTGAGGGTACGCTCCATTTGGACCCCAGCACCTCTCTGCATCATGCAAGAGCCTAAAGGGCTTGATCCCAATGGACAGCTTTGACCCAGTAAGGTGGGAGCAGGCAATGAGGTGAAGCCAGCACCGCAGGCAGCTGTGGGACGCACCGCAGAGCAGAACGTTCTGGTCTGTTTTTAGCCAACGACCGCTGAGCGGGGTGTCTTCACAGGAAATTAACCTTTGGATTCAGTGAGAAAGTGATCAGCGTCGGTCTCGGTTCTTTATCAGCTGACAGAGCAGCAGATCTAAACTTCACTGGCCTAATCTTATTGATACAAACAAGACTTCCCTACACTAAATAAACAAACCAGTTGATAAATCAACTCCATTTTTTGTTATATCCTGAATCATCTCCCTTTTTCTGTACTTCCGTCCTTATCTTTCCTCCCCTGAAATCTATTCTTTCCCCTTTCCCCTGGTCTTTCACCCTCATTACTCGGTAAGCCTCCAAACTGTCAGAGAAACCTGGCAACAATTACCATTCCGACAGCTGCAGCAATAACTGTTACAGTAGCACTTACAGTATTACTTATACAGTAGGCACAACTCCAGCAGCACGGGCACCAGACCAGAGCAGCATGCCGGCCCCCACCTTCCCCAGCCAGCAGGCCCTCATTAGGGGCCTTGTAAAGGCCTTATACCTGCCGGGCCTGGGCCCCTTCACCGCTCTGCTCCTCCAGGCTCCAGGTGTGTAAGGTGGCTGCACTTCACCAGAGGGGACAGCTTGGGCTCATTTAAGCCGATGGCTACCTGCCTAGTGCCTACTGTTGCAGCAGGCCCCAGTAAACTCTGAAACTGTAAAACTGCACGGGGCCGAAAGGGGAAAAGACGGGGGGTTGGCGGGGGTGTGTAGGGGAGCAAGGATTATGACCCTGTAAAGATGAAAGAGGTTGCGGCAACAAGCGATCAAAGAGGAAGTGTGTCAGTGCTGATGTGGCAGGGGATTGGTCGTATCAGAGGCCCTGGTTCGTTCAGCCGTGTGTGTGTGTGTGTGTGTGTGTGTGTGTGTGTGTGTGTGTGTGTGGTTGTGTGTGTGTGTTGTGTGTGTGTGTGTGTGTGTGTGTGGTGTGTTGTGTGTGGTGTGGTGTGTGTGTGTGTGTGTGTGTGGTGTGTGTGTGTGTGTGTGTGTGTGTGTGTGTGTGTGTGTGTGTTCATGGGCATGTGTATTGAACTCAGCACAGCAGGGCTTAACGGCCACAGCGGACACCATCGGTGCTGGATAACACAACGACTTTCACAAGCTGCCGCTTAATTGCAGTTTAAACTGCACTCCATCCTGAACAGCACAGCACGTTACTGTTAACAGACACACACACCTATATTTTAACTAACGAAGCATCTGTAGTCTTCAGCCACAAAGTTAATCTGATCTCACGGTTAATGTAGAAGCAAAACCGCATGGGGCTGGTTAACTGTTGGTTTACACTCTGTTCCAATTACTAGCATAGCTGGGAAACAACAGCTAACTGTTATTGTGTGGGAGTGTGTGTATGAAGTCAATCAACCTAGTTATGTGCTGGCCACTAAACTCACTTAACCTCGTTATCTTATTACACGGCTCCAGTTATGTATGTGGAAATTGAATTATACTAGGAAGCTATTACTAGGAAAACACAGGAACGACTTTGAAACAATAAGATCAGATGTCTGCGTGGCCAGTCAGTTCACCCTGCTGAAAAAGTACAACAGTGAGGTGCCAATAGCTGAGAGGAGGAGAAAAGAGACAGAGACCAGGAGATAATAAAAGGAGCCCTCACCCTTGCCTGTGGACAGAACTGACAGATGTGTGGTCAGAAAGATATGAAAGATGAAACAGAAATGAAAAAGGAAAGTTCACCCACCACTTGTACATCTGAGGGCACTCTGGACAGAAAGTCTAGCAGCTCGTTGTTATCAATGGTGTAAGGGTCTCGCAGCTTCTTGGTGAATTTATTCACCCCTGAAGAGAGAGAAAAACGATCAGGGCAGGAAGGGAAGAGTCTGGAAAGATAGATAGACAGCACCTACTGTCTGTTGTACACGTTTTTTAAAGTCTTTATGGTTGTTGTGCTCGCTGAAGATATGTATTGATTGTGCTTTTCTCCCAAATACAATGCATGAAAAGGAGCATGGGACATTCAAATGGCATTGCTCCGCCACAGATTTAATAAAGTACTGTATTCAAACTACACATTTAAAATGTTACAGCTAATATTTCTGCTACATGCAATAAAAATAAAACATTTTTACATTAGCTCACCCCAAGCTAGCACAATGTATCGCAGAGGAATGTAGTAGATGAGGATGGTGGCGGCTCCGAAAGCCACAATGGCCAGCCAGCTTAAGAAAGGCACAGTCCAGTTAAATGTGCTGAAAAGAGAGATGGAAAGGGAGTTCATTAGAAGATATGGCAAAGCTTAGTGGAGCAAAACACTCTGAGAAAGTCTTACAGGTCAGCATTACACTGTGAAAATGGTGTCAATAGAATTCACACTATATAATCAGTCAAATGCGCTAAACTTTGCGGATACACAGGTCACAAGTGTGTCAGCTTGATTTAAAATGTTTTTACCTTTGCCCAAAAAGGAACATGTAGCCTGTCTTTTTTTATCGCATCTTTTAATTAAGACTAAATTCCCTGCCTTCCCTGTGCTCTGTATGGATCTATTCAGAAGTGAGGATCTCTGTGTATGCAGAAGCCTACAGTGTATAAATGGTTTTGTGTGTGTGTGCATGTGCAGTGATGTGTTTAATCTAGTATGTACATGATTCAGTTAAGAGGTCATACAGGGTTAAGTGAGATGTGATGGGCATAAAGACAGGCAGCCTGTGTTTGTCTCTCGGGGCTGGGTGTCACGCTGGCAGCCTTTCCTGAGAGCAACGCAGTTATACTCAGTTAGGCTGGCAACAGGAAGCGGGGCAACCTGGCATTGCAGAAAAAACACTGGGACAAGCAGAGCGGAGCAAAGCGGGCCCGATGCCGAGGAGCGGGCTTACGACTCACTTCTTTATCCTCTCGCCATAGGAGGCCACTTCATCCAGTGCATTCTGCACACTGATGCACACGTCCTGAATGGCATAAAGCTTGTTCATGAAGCCCTTTCTCTCCGAGTCCTGCAAGAGGACAGATAGAGATGTAAGCGAGGGAGAAAGAAAGCGTGGTTTGAGGGGGAGAGAGAGAGATGGAGACAGTGAAGAGAGGGAAGGAGAGAGAGAAAAGAGGAGAGACAAGATAGAGGCTGGGCACAGGCATCTTTGTGAAAACAATACATTTTAAATAGCGTCAAAGATTTGGGGTGGGGAGCCAAATCACCGGATATCCTGCATGAACTGACGGAGTGCTTTCATTCCAGGCAGTAATAAAGATACAAAGTCGGCAGAACAAATCAAAATGCTCATACTGGAACATTTGAATATGTGAATAGAGAGGCAGAATTAACTGAAAGCCGAATAGATACATCAATCTTTGGGCGCTATTTCTTTCTCTCTCTCTCTCTGCTGCTGCCAAGACAGCCTTGAAGACCGGGCAGAGCCCTCTTTTGTTCGGCTGGCTGGCACACTGTGATGATGTCACCAGCCGTGACATCATTAACATCCTTATTAAACGTCGTCACCCACCATGAAGAGCTTTTCCTTTTCAACTTTTGATGGTTGAGAACTTGAGAATACTGTGAGGAGCGGGGAAAGAAACCACAAACTAAGCAGGCAATCTGAAATCTACAATCCCCCCTCTTACTGAAACAAAGTGAAGAATTGAAGAAGTCATGCAACAGTCAACGAGCTGCCTGCTGACTGACTGACAGGCAGGGACAGGATGGATCTGGACAGAATGAGGTGACAGAGAGGGATGGAGAGCCGTTGGCTGAGTGAGGACATCAACACGCAGACCGGTTGTGGCTGGATGTGAGTGGTGGGCATGCTTAGGAGACAGGACGGGGGGTAAAGCAAGAAGAGGATCTGCTTTCAGGAAAAAAGAGTTAGGATGAGGACAATAAAGCAATTAGAGACCTCACCTATAAGATAATCATGTTTCAGTGATTATAAGTTATGTTTTTCAGGGGAGGGTTAGGGGTTTCTACCTTATTTCTTCACCCTATTGTTGGAAGTATTTGTTCAATAAATGAGATTCAGTTAAGAAAGAATCATAAAGCTGTAAAACATTTTAAAAAAGGATACTGTATTACACAGCTGTTAGAAGAACTTACGTTAATCAACCCAAAACGGAAATGTTTAAAAAGGAACCAAAAGAGTATGGCACAAGCCAAAATGGCCACCAAACATTTCTCTATGTCAGAGAAACAGCACGTATAGCAATGGCTGTGTTATTGATGAAGATGGATGGGCCTTGTTGGATTAGAGAAGTAAAACTCAGAATAATCCTCACCATTATACCCAAAGATGACAGGGAAGCAGGCGAAGACACGAAACCAAACCTCCAGGACCCAAGAGCCCTTTACCACATTTCGCTCCTTGAGGCAAAGCTCACCACAATCGTCCCTTTGAGACCCAAAACTACAACCCACCTCCCTCTGCCCCATAACCCACCTCTTCTTTTTACTCTCCATCCAGGATCAGATAATGTGAAAAATGAACCATGGAGCAGCCAGGGAGACCACATGGCCTCCTCGGTAAAAACCACACAAGACAAATAGATATAATTAGACGGCGTCCCTGGGTTATTTTTCTTCGCAAATATTTTACAAGACTCCCTTTCTTTCTTCCTCTGTTCCTCCTCCTCTTCTCAGTCTTTTTCTTTAGAGTCCATCTGTTTTTCATTGCTCTGTCAAACAAACCCCAAACGCAGGGTCTATTGTGTTGGCCTGGGTTAGGCCGAGCCGAGCCGGGCTGGGCCGGGTCAGGCCGATTTATTTTCGGGAGTGTTTGAGCGCCAGGGGAGTGGTGTGAGAGAGCGGGCGGGGGTGGAGAGGATAGATCAGAGGTCATTGGAGAATAAACCATTGCCACATGCCCCTCGGACTGCGGCCTGACTCGTATTTCCTGTCTTCAAACACGGCTCAGGGAGGCGGGAGGTAGCAATAACACAGAGGGCCACGGAGAACCTTGTTTTCCCAGCTTCCCCGCACACTGCGCACATATGGAGCCAGGCAACCTGTTCTTATAATGGAACCTAATATGCACACAAACACACACGCACACACACCCTACAGCTATTAGATAAGGTTGATCTGCACACCTGGTCTTGCTGCGTTACTTTACAAACAATGTTATATCCTGACAGATTATACGATGAGGGCTCTTGACTTCAGAAAGCAGTTTCTTTCTCGACTGAGCAAGTTTGTTTTATACTGCAATGTGATCACTTATAAAGAGGGAATTGATACAGGAAGATGAGGATGGAGACATGGCATTCACACATGACAGTCAAGGTTAAAGGAAGCGTTCTGTTGACTTGTTTTTTACACAAAAATCTGTTAAATATTTGGAAAGTAGGGAGCTTTTTAAGATACATGCATATGTCCTCAAGAGTGGATCAGTCACTGGTATCTTCCGTTAAATAAAGGACTCGGTTTTGTCATTTCTTACGTGGTTTTATGGGCAATGTGTGTTGATGCGTGTCGACAACAAGCTCAGTTTTTTCAGTCCTGACTAGCTTCTAGTTTTACTCAGGAAGATGAGTATGGCCTGTGCAAGAGATTTAGGGCCGGTGTCCCCATGCGTCTCGTCCTGTGTCAGTCAGTAATACTAAGTAGGTTTGTTTGGAGACCTGAAGCTAATAAAATTAAATCCGCAGGGCCTCTCGCTTTTACTTGGCTACAGTTGCGAGTCATGTTAGGGCTCACAGTGTGCTACAAATCCCAGCACCTCTGACAACAGTGTTCTGAAGGATGATGCTGCATGGCTTTAGCCTTTCAGGCAGATAGTGTAATAAGCCTGCCTAATGAGTTTAGCTTCATGCATTTTAATAGACTGCAACTGTAGGTTAATCCGCAATGTGTTACGCTGACATGTTACAGTAACTCGCAGTTCAGTTTGTGTAATACAAATTGTCATTGCAGTCGGCTGGCAGAGCATTCATTCTTGACGATTTCATCTACTTTAAGACAGGACTGAATATATGTAGATATAATGTATACTTTTCCGTCAGCTACACATATGCCTGAATAATGGATAGCACAGTACAGTTTATATACAACTATGTGCAGTGCTATTGACTGCACCTAAGAAATAAAGTTGTATCATTTGAGATTATTCATAAAAGATCTATGGTTGAATTCTTCCACCACTACTTTTGCCACAACTTTCATAAAAAAACAATTGCTTCAATCAAAGGAGGCTAAATAATATATATAAACTTGCATATACAGTAACATTGAATGAACATAAAATACACGCATGAATATCAAGTATGATTTAGCATCGCTGTGTTTGGGTTTACAGAGTATATAAGAGAGAATACAAAAGGCTTTAATTAATTTTTCTAAATGCCCATGACCGTAAGTATTCACTCCTTTAAAATATCAGTTATTTGTGACCTCAGAATGCATACTCCCAAGTATCTAACATTAATTCAAAGGCGAACTGAAGCCTTTACACACATTCCTGTCATTATTATGCATTCTCTTTGTCTTTTCTTGTAAGATGGTATAGATCTACTTCTGAAAAGCATTCGTTGTATAAGGTACTCTATAGCAAAGGGTCAGGCTCAGTCAGAATGTGAAGCTGTGAGTTCAGAATAAAGTCAGAAGAACTGCATTACAACATGTATTAAACAAATAGCAATGAAACAATCTCTTTGTCCTGTAAATGAAATGTTTCTGTGTGCAGAAGACATCTTTGACATCAATTAGCTCTCATCAGCAGAGATATTTTCTGGTAACAGACATATTTAGTGAGTCGTTGTTCTTTGTTGGCAGAGAGTTCTTTTAATTGCACATATGCCGGCAAAAGCATACAAATGTATCTTTTGTGGTTATGTCCAAAGTTTGCATCATTGTTTGGTTGTTTGATATGATATCTCTGCCAAGCACCCATCAGTTTAGCATTGAGCTGCCTTGTGTAGAAGTGTGTGGAACAGGATGCATCGTGGGATTGCTCCCATTAGAGAAGACACTGGGTGTTTCTCAATCGCGAGTAAAGCTGCTTCAGAGCCACTATTTCAAGCATACTACGTCATCGAGTGCCGCCGAAGTACTGTTCCAATCTCCAGTATACTTGGAATTCTACCGAGCCCGGCGTACTCCGTTTGGAGAAATATCAAGTCTGCACATGAGTAGACTTCGCGGTCTTAAAATCCCCACAATGCTTTGCGCACGGACCAATTTCCCCAAATCTGTGGCGGAAGATGTAAGGCGGGGCCTCTCATATGACGCACACCTGCACACTTGCTAGCGTGTTCCACTCTTTGTTTTCCGAATGTCAGGAAGTATTCTTGACTCGCTTCTGAAGCAAGATGCTCGGCAGACATGTGCTACCAAGCAAGCGTACTGTACTCGCGATTGAGAAACACCCACTGGGTGTTTCTCAATCGCGAGTAAAGCTGCTCCAGAGCCACTATTTCAAGCATACTACGTCATCGAGTGCCGCCGAAGTACTGTTCCAATCTCCAGCATACTTGGAAATCTACCGAGCCCGGCGTACTCCGTTTGGAGAAATATCGAGGCTGCACATGAGTAGACTCCGCGGTCTTAAAATCCCCACAATGCTTTGCGCATGGACCAATTTCCCTAAATCTGTGACGGAAAATGTAAGGCGGGGCCTCTCATATGACGCACACCTGCACACTTGCTAGCCTGTTCCACTCTTTGTTTTCCGAATGCCAGGAAGTATTCTTGCCTCGCTTCTGAAGCAAGATGCTCGGCAGACATGTGCTACCAAGCAAGCGTACTCGCGATTGAGAAACACCCAGAGGCTCATTAAAGTGATGCAAGCTGTTTGCATGCGTTAAGGAGAAACAACCCTCGGTGACACCAGAAAGAGCCCAGGGACACACACTCTCTCACACACATATACATAGACACAGCCAAGTCAGGCCAACCACAATGCACTTGCTGGTAAATTGTGGTAAACAAATGTGGTAAACGCCTTGAAACACTTGATTAAATATTTAACAAAAGGAAAGATGAACAGTGCCTCTGTGTACTCGACTGCTCCATTTCTCTTTCAGCGAGATAGCATCACGCCAGAGTGCATCTATATGAAAAGTGCACAGTGAGCAAATGTAAACTTTGCAAAGACAGTTTGTACTTCACTGACCCAAGGCCTAGAGCTAAACAAGAGAGAGGTCACTGAGGACTTAGCCTATTACCATGGACTCAAATATCTGTCCTATATCTACTGGGTGGAAATAGAGAGAGCCATTTGAGAATGCTTTAACCTCCGATCACACTGTTCTCCCTACTGGGTTACGCCATAAAAATGATAAACCTAACCGTTATAATGCAGCACCATACATCTCATCACACCACGAAATGAGTTTGAACCACAAGTGGCTGCTGCTCACTGCTGCTGTGCTAAAATTGCACCTGTTTTTCTTTGTTCTTCTTTTTGCCTCTCACTCTGGCAGCACAGTAAAAATTGAAATGTCATATAAAACGTGACAGGATGCTAATATGTGGCTCCCAGAGGGCAACTGAAAATGTTCTTGTTGGTTTTGTAACTGCAGAGGGGAGGCGGCATCCCTCCCATTTCCACCCCAGGAAAAAGGGGGGAAAAAACACTGAAAAGTTAAGCAAGTTGAGGAATGCTTTAGGGGAGACACAAATTCAATTTACAAAGCCTGTGCAAGAATTAGAAATGACAGAATAATAAATAGCGCACACAATTAGCATCTACCGTGTACTTAAAACATGATCTGTTGCAAGCTCTCTTTGAAAAAAATCAAATATGGATGAAAGAAATGGATTTGTTCCCATAAACATGATATTTGGCTGTGTGGAATTGTTGAGTTACTGAAATTAAATTAATATTAAAATGATTGAGTGACTGATAAAAGCGCAACACCTCTAGCATCCTCTAGTGACATTCAGTTCAGGCTTACTTTTTTGGCTGTATATGTAACAAATTAGCAGATGGCCTGTTTCTAAAATGAGGCAAGCAAGAGTATGTACAGTATAGAAGGCACATCGCATTGTAGTTTTACTATGATTTTAAAAAAAAATCTGATTGGTAATCAGCAGAATGACACTAATTAGTTTTGCGTATTTTAATCTTATAGTTTCTTAGGATGGACATGTTTGGCAGAGAATCAAATGTAGCATGGAGGGCTTCTATCGTGTTGACCACTCAAATAGTTCAGCTCCTAAAAACAGAGACAAGTATGTACAGTAAGCCAAATTAAGCTGTTCAAACTAAATAATATATTTCATCTGTGTCTATTCCAAGAATGACCCACTCCACTGGGGAGCGATGAGTCACAGATAGTTCGCATTGGGAATTCAGAAAGGCTACAAAGGGGGTAACACAAACTTGGAGTCCTCGTAGGACATCTCCCCTCTGTCAGGAAATGACAACAAGACGAGACAAAAGGCCCCGCGACCGGCCTCAGATGCCACCCTGCAGCATGGCCCCTTGCCAGCACCACATGAAAGAGGCAGATGTTCCCCCTTTTTTTCAAGCTGCGGTTTTAATAAATAATGTATTTCATAGCACAACTAATCCATGAGCGAATGTGGGGAACACATCTCTATTTCCCTCCCTCTCTTTTTATCATAAACACATAAATATGTGTTAAACTAGGGTGTTGAGATGTGCTGCACGTCCTCATCAAGCGGCTCGCACACAAAAGGCCACGTTAAGATGTAAAGGGGCGTCCCACTCCCATAGGCCCGCTGTGACTGTGAGGAGAGTGTGTATGTCTGTGTATAGGGTGAACACACCGTTTTCTTTGAGAATATGTCTGGCTGACGGTTGCTCCCACAAAGCCAAAGTCAAACCCCAGTTTAGACTGTCAGATGAAGGTGGACCAGTCAGACATAATGCTCTCTAGTACTAATTAGTCTCTTTGCCCAGCCTAGTCCCACAGCGAGGATAAATATACACATATGTAAAATAGAGGGATAGAAGGACAGAGAGAAATTAGGAATAAAAGGACGAGGTGGCGGTGTCTAACTTTCAGTTTGACCTCTGCTTCCTGTCCAAACGAGAAATGTTTCTGGTGTTAGGGGTGTGCGTTTGTATGTGTGTCTCTGATGAGTCTGGGTGGCAGGAGGTTGTTTGCCACTGATCATCTTTACCCATTTCCCCCTGGGGCCCCTCATCACCTCCACCACACCAGCCACTCCATCAGACTCAAGGTCGGACACACACACAAACACACATAAATGACTACCGCCCCACAACTTCTGCACTTTCCCTTCCTCGCCTCCCGCTGATCGCCACCCGACCCCCGCCCAGCCTGCCCAGCTCTCCCTCACTGTGCCTCACCTCTGCTCCCCTGCTCCTGCGCTCTCCTTCCCCTGTCCTTCCCAGGATCATGCCTGGCAGTGTGTGATGAATGGGACACCATTACTCTTGTCCTCTGTTGGCCTGGTTTAGCTGCTCCAGCCCATCTCCCCCATCTGTCTGTCTGTCTGTCTGTCTGTCTATCTGTCTGTCTGTCTGTCTGTCTGTCTGTCTATCAGTCTGTCTGTCTGGGATGGCTTAAAACATACTGCAAAATCCAAGTACTGGATTCATTTGGTATAATCATACTTAACGAGGAAGGTACAATTGTGTGTTTACAACATTACTTTGGAAAATGTACAGACATTTGGTACTTACGTTAGAAAAGGAAAAACTACTTTTTTGTAATGCTTTTTTGATGTTGTAAGGTGGATTATATATTGAGTTTATCCTATATTTAACTTTAAATATGTATTTATTTATTATTAAAAACAAGTTTTGGGTAAAATCACTTCATACTATTGTTTAGGGAAATTTACATTTGTTTCATCACCTAGGTTTTGCCTACCTTTAATGACATATTCATGTTCAGCGAGACACAGGCAATAGGAACAGCAGTAACATCCACTGTTTTAAACTTTGTCTCAGGAAGAGAAAAAAACAACAGAGCGAGAATGCATCGCTGTGAAGTGAAGGGATCACGTCTTCAAAAAAGTAAATAAAATATGCATTCTCTCTGTGCTCATTACAGATTTATGACTCTTGTTAAAAGAAAAGGTGGCGGCTGCCTTCTTACATGTCTGACTTTCAAATTCATACGACACTGCTGTCAAGTATTGTGCTCCACATTCTGTCCAATGAGAGATAGGGAGGGGAGAGTGTGTGCCATCTTCAACATCCTATTTGGTGAGAGTCTCTAGGAGAGTTACTCTGGGTGGATGAGAGAACACAAGAACTCCTCACCTAGAGTGCAACGAGTACTCTTCGTACTCCTTTGATGCATAGTTCATCAGTCAAATGGTTCAATTGGTTCAGCCGCTTGTGTGTGTGTGATTCAGAACAATAACATTTGCGGGAGAAGACGTTGCTACATTAGGCATAATGAGCATTGGGATTTGCTTCCCCAATATGAAATAGTTGTGCTGTTTCTGTAGCAACTTTTAAGAAAAAGCGCTCACAGGCGCATTCAATTCACACCACCACCCACATGCACACACATACACACTCGGGGCTCTGAAACTCATTAGAACATTTGCTTGTTTGGTGCTTATTATCAGTGACTTAGAGGTCATAAGGTGTGAAAACAATCGTTATTTGTGAGAGGAATGTAATTAGTGCTTTTCAAAACAATGAATCTAGTCTATTTTTTGGGGGGAGGGGTGAATGAAAAATATCCACGACAACCCTGTGAGCGTATCTTATTCCCTCATGGCCCCTCTCACTGCACACATTATTTTTTTTACTTGAGTCACTCCCAATGTCAACCTTTAGTACGCAACAGCCAAAAGTCCCAAAGCTAAACATACTTAACACCCGGCTGCACCTCAGTTCAGCTGTCACCTCTCAGTGTAACAGGTCTACAGTGCTACAGGGAAGTCACACAAGAAGACGGGAGCAGCCTACCATGCTGGAGCCCCATTAGTTCCCCCATCACCTTAAAGAGCAGGCAGAGGCCTCGAGGTGGGGTTGGGTTGCGGGCCGAACGTGCAGTGTGTGGGTGTTGATTGAGACGCGGACAAAGGACACGTACTTGACACAAACCCCGACAGGACGGCAGACAGAGGCCGTCAGACAGACGATGAGCTAAAGAGGAAACCGGAAGACAGCGACAGACACCATCAGGAGTCAGTGCCAGAGCCACACACATGCCCACTTACCACCATCGCTCGTATCCACTCAAAGTGCCAGGAAGCCAAAATATCCTCGAGGATATGGTTTTTATCACTGCTGTCCTCCCAGGGGCCTGGTTTAGGGTCCTTGTGGATAGATTAAAGTGAAATGTTCTCTTTACAACCCAGAGGAATGAAGGTGAAAGGGTTAAAGAAAATGTTTGAAGGTTTTACATCTGGGTCTTAAAGTTGACTTTTTGGCCAGGTAACTGTAGGCAGTAGCCTCTAGGTAAGAATAACATTGTTCTCACCAAATGCTCTGCACAGATTGTAAACACACGCATTGCACTGGAAAGAGATGTGGCTTGCAATGCAGACAAGAGCCATAATAGATTATGTTTCAGTACTCACCTTTGTATTGACCTCAAAGTAACTGAATTTGATAGCTGGTTTAAAAGTGGACTGATTTGAGGGTTGTGTTTGCTTGGGTCCATTCAACTATAGCAACCTGTATCCAAGGGAGGCCCCTATGTATATAATGTTTTACAATGACAGTGGTGAGTTTGGTTTAAACTGTGTTAACTTAAAGTAAACTGTCCAAAACTACATAAAAAGACCCACATGGCAAAAACAACAACACCCATTTACATAACAAAGGCCATAGTTAAAGCAAAATGTTAGGAGGATGGGGGAGAGTCAGGAATTGAAGGAGAAATGAGAGAAAGCAAAAGACAAAGCAAGAGATATGTATCTGAGGGGAATAGAGATGATCCACCTGATGTATGTGTGTGACAAAGAGGAAAAACAAACAAACAATGCAGTGTATTTTGCATGGAGAGACAATACCCCTCCATGCCTCTTTCACCCTCCTTTTTGTTTTCATTCCTCCCTCTATTAGCAAAACATGATTAAAATGCAGTTCCTTCCAGCGTCTGTGCTGAACAAGAGGGAAAAAACGGTGAGATTGGGGGGAAAAAATGAAGCGGAAAAGTCAAAAGCATCTTTTAAAGCGTGACGCTTTGTATCCTTCACAGGCGGCGAGAAGAAAAGAGAACAGAAATTCAAACTTTTTTGTCTTCCCCTGTCTCCCTCTGCCTCTCTTTCCCATTCTGCTCAGCTATTGAAACCCCCCTGATACCTGAGGACAACCCCGCTGCACCACAAGCTCAATAGCCTCCAAACAACAACATTACAGTCACACTGTTTTTTCATAGCATTGATATCATTCCCAGTGCTCTCTTTAGTCCATCACATTATGCCATGGCGCTATCTGAGCGATCAGTGCAGTGCCGTGACTGGGACTGAGCGAAGAGTCGGGGCTTGGGAAGGTACCGCAGAGCTACATATGCTGAGACAGAGTGCACACCTTATCAAACATTACATGGAGCAAAGAGGCACTTGCTCAATCACATAGAAAAAGGCAATAGCAAAGACAGAGATGGGGAGAGAAATAGACGGACAGATATAAACAGAGATATACTGTATGTTCAAATCTGAAGCTGAACATGGTGGTGAAGCCTGTAATAACTGGATGTGTGCTTTTACTAGCCATTTGCCAGGAGGTATACATTTACCAGAGAACCATTGATAAACAGATATAGATGTGCACAATTGAGAGTGTGTTTGTGCGTGTTCATGTGCATGAATGAGTCATGCCAAATGGAAAACTGGAAGAGGGCGGAATGGCTGTCTCCGCACTATAGATGAGAAGAATAAAGAGATACTGTGGTGTACTGTAGGAAGAAGGTTGTGTGATGGGAGAAAGGAAGAAAGACAGGACTGTATATACTCAATAGTGTATGTACAGTGGACTCATCAAGACATTGTAAATAAAAAACAAACAGCAGGTAAAAAGCACTTATAAAATGGATGAACTTGAGTCTATTCACTGTGTGTTATGCGAGTTGTGCATGGGTCATACTGTACCGTCTTATATCATTAAAAACTGTATCTTAATCCCATAAGGCAAACCTTTAAGTCAAAAACAACAATCAAAAAACAACAAATAGGTTACTATTCGACCCATGTCCTAGATGAAAGCAGATCGCATTGCTGGTTAATGTGGTATGACTTAGATTTGGTCTATGAATTACACTAATCATATCATTCATGTCAGTGTAATACAGATTGTACAGATCAATGAGCTAATGAATTAAGTCAACTCTATATTCACCATCAACTCTGCTCATGAGGGAGGGAAGGAGAAAATGAGCAAGAAACGGGAGAGATATTAAAGGTGCATGTGGTACGTCTGTGTGTGTGTGTGTGTGTGTGTGTGTGTGTGTGTGTGTGTGTGTGTGTGTGTGTGTGTGTGTGTGTGTGTGTGTGTGTGTGTGTGTGTGTGTGTGTGTGTGTGTGTGTGTGTGTGTGTGAGCGAGATACAGAAAGATAGACATAGAGAGAGAAAGAGAGAGGGAGTGCACCGAGCAGTAAGCCCGTGAGCAGGACATGATTGCAGTGTGTATCTTATCTGTGTCAGGTCCTCCTGAGGCTAGTGGAGCCTAGCTGAGCGGAGCACGAGCGCTTCAGTGACCAGTCAACCGTGTGAGGGTAATCTCCTCACTCCTTCACTCTGTCTCTCTCTCACTCTCTCTCTCTTTCACCCCTTTTTCCAGTAAGCCCCCCCTCTGGGAGGCAGCTGAGCGACTGCACGCACACAGTGAGCCGCTCACACAAACACTTTTACACACAAACACTCACAGCCATGCAAAGCCTTAAGGTGATTGCCTCATGCCGGCTCTGGACAGTGAGCCCACAGGTGAGAGGAGCCATCACAGGCTACATTGCACACTGAAGCCCCTGCAGACAGTGGCCTGTAAATATAGGAATGCTATCTCACACTGTCCAAGTCCACAATGTTACTTCAAGCTGCATCGGAAGATACTGAAAAGGTCCATAACGGTTGCAAGGGACATATTTAAACCAGTAAAATGTTATTTGTCTAGAGGGTGAACGGATGGTTGCGATGATAAGAAGTAGATATTTGGATGTGCATACTCGTGTCATTTAAATATTGCAGATATTCTGAATATTCACAGGTGTTATATTATAATTGCTGCTATTCTATTTTGATCAGTTCCAGGGTCCTGGTGTTGTGCATGATGCTCAGTGGATTGAATTGAGCCCCTGTCAATGAACATAAATCACCTCTGCTTTAGTTACAAGTCAACATTTCTACAAACATAAAAAGGCAATTATATATGATGGCAAAATACTCTAAAGATCATTTTCCAAGGCAAATTAAAATATGTCCAATGACAACTACATGCCTGATTATGTTTCATTAAAATATGTATTTTAAGGCATGTGATGGAAATATGGGTGGCTAAAAAGATAACATATCTTTTTTTTAAAGATAATTTTCCATGCAGAATGTTTTTAATACAGATTCTGTCTAAGTGTTTAGTGTCCTACATCTGTGTATTGGATCACTAATGTACTTCCAAGGAGAAAAGGTGCATCTGCAGCTTGCCGCTATGTTTAAAATGAGCTTTTATTGAGAATAGAGGTTAAAAACTGGGGCTGTATACTGCTAACAGATTTTATGTGTGTCTGTAGGAAATAAGAATAGAGCAACATTCCACGTTGAAGGTCAGTGCACACACACAGTGTGTGTGCAGGAGGAGGAGGTGAGAGGAAAATAAAAATAGTTTGTGTCGAACCTTTTTTCACCCTACTAGTCTTTAACAACTGAGCCGTCCACATCAATTAGTCCTGATGCTACACTTTCATTGAGATTAAGTGACTAATATCAGTGCTTGCTCACAAGAAAGACACTTTTCACGTCTGCCCAACAATCTGTTAAGTCGAAACACATGTGGTGATCCAAGGCAAAAAGCCTGCAAGGGGTCTTCCACGCAATGAAAAACAGGTGCTCTACTTTTTGGCCATGTAATACCCCATTTAGCCTCTGGAGCAAAGGTTATCCAGCTAATAGCTGCCTTGTGGTGCACTGGGAAGAGCGGTGCACATGGCCGAAGTAAACATCTGGGACGGATTGTACATACTTGCAACATATGCTTCAAGTTCAATTAAAATGAGGCCTTGGCATATTTATTAATCTTTTTTTCCCTCCGCTTTCTCTGTTGCTCACCCTCTCTCTCCCTATTTCCATCTCCCCCTATAGGCTTGTGCTATAAAAGAGGCCTCCTTTGACCCGTCCTTCATACTTACTCATACAATCTGTAGCTGTACCTCATATCTAATGTAAAAGTCCTCATATCCAATGTAAAGGACACATTTGTTAAGCCTTGAAAATGTATTTGTTCTGCACTTAACCAGGTTGGAGGAAGAGCAAAGGGACAAGAGAGAGCGAGAGAGAGGGAGAGAGACTGCAAGAATAAAAGAAAAAAAGCAGAGAAGAGGACGATTGACAGAAGGGTAGAAGGAGAGTGGGGGGGGAGATATGTAGGCGAAGAAAAAAGAAAAATGCCCCCCTTTCAACCTCCCTACAGCTCAAATGAAATGCTAACAGTTGAGGGGAGCAATAGATCAAAATGTATGAAGCCAGAGTTGGTAAATTGTAGCCTTTGTGGCGGCTGTGCTATCCAGCATCCCAGCCCTGTGTGAGCACAGAGAGCAAGGCCCTCTTATGTGGAATAATCAGTTTGGCACCAAATCTGACAGAGGCCGCAAAAGCTGCTGCTGCACCTCATTTCAATATGAAAGTCCAAAATGTATTTCATATAATCTGCAGCTTTTCAAATGCCTGTATTTGTATTTTTTTCCCTGAGAGGAGGTGGGGAATGCAATGATGGAGGGCAGACGTAAAGGAGGGGTAGAAAAAAGGTTCAAGGTTGCCTTGTGCATATCTTCAGTCGGTGGCCCCCTGCACATTTCAGCCTTGGAACTTCACAGCCATGAAACTTTGCTCCTGCATCACTGTGGGAGAGGATGTAATGCTCACGTATCTTTGTGTGCTCATCGCCCAATTGGCTGCCTGGCTGACTGATTGCCTGACAGGCTGACTTTCTGGCGGGATGACTATTTGACCATCTGCACTATAAATGTGTTTTTTTTAACCCTTTACTTGCAGGCTTGCACTTACGACCCTTTCAAATTTGGAGAGGTTGTAGCAAGGTTGCACTTCTATTAAATTCAGCATTAAAGGTTGCAGTGCATTCAGCATACAGTGTCCTCAGGCAAAACAATTTTCAAATATCAAATTGCCTGGTCAGAGGCCTTTACAATTACCATTGCAAATTCCTCTAAAAAGATTACCAAACCAGACCATGGAATTTACCACATCTTAGCCTCCTAACCTTTATATTGCTGGAGTGTGGCTGTAAGGCATCGAATATCAGCTCAAGTCATTTCAGATTCCAGACTGTTCAGTCAAGGTACTTTACTGATTTCACAGAAAAAGATTTGGACTGAAAAGCTTAAAGCTATTATTGTGTCCTTGTTTAACACTGCCCGAGTCTCATCTTGACTATCAAACAGAATATTGTTTTCATTTTAAGTGTGCCTCACCAAAAACCAGACAACACAGTGGGAGGATAAAGAGCTGTGCCATTTCAATTACCATTCCCAAGTGGAACATTGACAAGGGACTGTATGCTACCCAGTAGCATTTGTTTCAGTAGCTGTTCCTACAGTGTAAACGAGCGGAGGCAGTAAAGCAGCCACCTGTTGTTACCTGATAGTGTCTGGACAAGCCCAGATGCTGTTTTACTGGGACATAAAGGAGCAGTGAATGGACCTAAATAGCTAACTAAGCTCTTTATACGGGCGCATGTTCTCAGGAAGCAGGGCTGAAGCACAACGTTAGGAAGGTAAATTTGACATAGTGTTACATGAAGGGAAGTATAACGATAGCGTGGCAAACTGCAGTAACAGACCAAAGAAAAAAAGCACAAGGACAAAAGGTGAGACATGTGAAGTTGATATACATATATCTAGAGAGAAAACTTTTCAAAAGGTTAAAAAGGTTGTTCAATCTTTGTACATGTGTTTGTGCCTCAGGCAGTGAGAAAACCTGTACAGGGAAGGAGATGGGGGGGGGGTGCAGTCCTTTCACTCAGCTGTGTGTTTCCGGTGTGTGAAGCAGTGTCAACCACTCCTGAGGCAGTGTGCGCACGTGCTCGTGTGCGTTAGTGCATACCTTTGTGTACATGATTGTGTGTGACTGCATCCCTGACACAAGACATAATTACCTTGTCATCTTTGTCAAAATCCTCATCCTCGTCCTCCAGCAGGTCCTCCACTGCTTGCTGACAGTTGCAACAGAGGGGAAAGAGAGAGGAAAAAAGAGAAAAATAATGTTTATGCAACAGCTATAGTACAGATAAACACCAGCTAACACAGGGTTAATGTCATCAGAAGAGCCAAAGAGGCATAATAAAGCTGATTGGTTATGCTTATGTCTGGCAGGAGTTTGTTAATGAGTATGGAAAGCAACTGTGTGTGCTAATATGTCAAGAGCCTCAAAAAGGTTTAGAATTGGAATTTAATTTTAGAAACATTCTGTTGTTCAAATGTGTTGACACTTCGGGAAATGTAAGCAAATGCTGTGGCTTTGAGTTTCAGCGGGCTGAGGATTAAACTCTATTCATCCACTCAAATCGCATTGCACAAAAGCATTCAAATCTTTCACAATTCAGCGCGACGAGACCACTGATAGCCACTCTTCTTCTTCTGTTTGTGGTCGGTCTCAGCCGACCTCTTTAACCTTTGCACTCGTCTCTCACCTCTACAGCCAGCCGTCCTATAGCTATACACTTGTCTATCTATAGTTTCCCATTCTTTCACAGAATGATGCTCCACGAGAGAAGAAAGCCTGCAGCGCAGAGAGCAAGTCACAAAGAACAGCAACTACGTGCTTCAGTGGTCCACAACCGATGAAACTGGAGCTGGTGTAGCTCTGAAGCCCCCAAATACCATGATGCATACTGTATAATGTAACACAAAGGAAGAGATGACACACTCATGTGCACACAGTCATAAACAAAGAGGCACTCAGGGAGTGTATGACATAACAACGGAACAAGCAAGTTTGGCTTTTCCTGTTAAATAATGAGATTTATTACGTAAACGTGAAGAAGGATTGAGATGAGGACATTTCAATTCACATACAGCTCAGACCTCAATCTGTGTGTGAAAAGCAGGCAGTGAAACAAATGTCTTGGCATATATGGAAAGCCCTGAACCAACAATAGCAGCTTGAGCCACTGTGTTTAGCGACACCATATCTAAGTGTTTAGAGTTACAGTACTTCAGTTGTTTTGGTGCATTTTTGAGCAGGCACAAGTTCATGTGTTAGTCTGATGCCAATGAGCGGCAAATCACAGATCACGACTGCATCTCGTATCAACCCTCTTCCTGTCGATCACACATCAAAGCTACAAGGTCATATTGTTGCTCCCAATTTGCATAAACAAACACCCATATCATAAGCCCTACAGCTGTTAACCCCAGCTACTCTCATTGTTGTATTGCTTCACAAACCCCAACCCCCAAAAATCTTTGCTCAGCCTCAACATCACCACAACCCCCTAACCAGCTCCAGAACAGCACAAACTAGTTTGGAGAAACCCAAAAATCATTACTTAACAAGACAATAGCTTTTGTCTTTTTTGTTTTTCATTGGAATAAGGGGGGAAACTATGTGGCGGCTGACATAAGCCTCTTATGTAAATGCAGCTTCCCACACAAACAAAGAGGAGTTCAGAACAGCAGAGTTGAGAGGGTAGCGTCAATAGTGTGTGTGTTCTATCAATAGCTCGGTTACACTAGGCAAAGTGTTGTTGTGCATGTACGCCTTGCACCCCTTGTTTTAACCGTACAGCAACTGGTTATTCCCACTTCACTAAGACTCCATCAGTGTCTAGACAAATAAGTTAGATTGTTCACAGTTCACAATCTCTTTATTGATACAGAATACATTCATATACTCCACAGCGCACAAATACCAGAGAGGGAATTCTTGAGCTCAGCCGAGGCAAAAGATGTAGACTTGATACAGTCAAATTAAAGCCTTTGGCAACACTAAACAAATGAACTATAACTGCTTATAAAGTCATCATGGTTCCTCCCAAATCCTTTCACCCGTGCCAAAATACAAACATAATGGATTCCACCACACAGAGGCTTTACTAGGGCACGCCTGGCACACGCTCCAAACTTTAAACAAAGGGAATGAGCATGAGCTAGCTGGAGAAGCATGACCTAGAGAGACAGAGAGAATGATAGAGTCGTTTGTCTCCCTCTGCTCTGCGCTCTGCTCTCTCTCCTCTATCGCCTCTGGTTACAGAGAGAAGTCATGTTTCCTGCGATGAGACACAGTGTAAAATTAATAAATAAAAAGACATGGAACATGTCATCTGCCCTGAAGATTGCCACGGCTAAATGTGTGCACTGAAGCTACTGTCTCAGTAAGGGAGGATATAAATTACCTCAGTACAGCCGATGAATTCCAAACATCTTTCTTTCTTTTTCTCCCTCTACCTCTCTATTGGTCCCATTCTTTCTAAGATGTTTGCCGTATGATATCATTTGTCTGCTTATCCCCCCATTATCATGTTGTTTGAATTACTATCATTACAGCACGGCGGCATCAAAGCCTTACTGTCGACAGGACGGCGTAGAGCTCACGTTGCCTGCAGAGCTGCTCCAGTCAATTCTACATCTACTGAGGTGGGGATTAACATATTCAGACCTATTCAAATGATACAGGGATGATGCAGGCTACTCTTGCAGATTACACTGTGCCCCATAAATACATACAAGGATTGTGATAGTATCAAATCCACACAAACAATATAAGTGAGTACAATGACATTGAGAGTTCAAAATAGCTGTGAACATCTGAATACATCTGTTTGGCCTTAGTGGCTTCAAAACTGATTTGTAAGAACTTAGTTTCTGTTGCGTTGGCTCAGATCCCGGCTCTGCTACATCACTCTCATTCTGGCTCTCTTTCTGTACTTTCAATCAATGCAAATATACTGCCTGTGAAAAACAAACTCATGTCAATTAAAATTGAGTGGAATGTCTTTACTCTGATACAAAAAAGCCTACTATGCTGCAGGTAGAGATTTTGATGTGAAAATAACTTGATTTTGTATGACACCCAGTCCATAAACCAAACCAAATCAGAGGTGTAATACCCCCTTGTTTGGTGTTTTCTTAATGCATCCTTTCATAACTTTTTCTATAAGCTACAAAGCTGGGACTTAGAGTGACCTATGTTTTGCATTGTTAGCATTAACATTTAGCCTTACAGAGCGTGATCTTTCTCCCCATTTACTGTTGCTTTGGTCCTGATGAAGTGCGTGTTACTAGCTTACATTTTCCTGGACAGAGTTTGATTTAAGTGTGGAAAAACAAGAGTAATCTAAGTTAGACCAAATAGCCCAGAGTGTTTTTGGATTTGATTTTCGCTGCACAGGCTGATTGACTGAGGTGTGATGAGTTGTTGAGGTGGAGAAAAAAATAGTTTTCAAGAACATTCTATCAGGTAGAAATTGAAGAGGGCAATTTGTTTATTCTCCTTTTGCCTATACAGGGAGCTTCTCTCACAGAATCAACAGCACAAGCAAAATGTGCCTATTTTAGGATGGAGAGCAAACATTTTGGGGCAAAAGGGTTCATTTACTGTATGTGTCCTTCTGTTTACAGAATAACCTGGTGACTCTGTAGTGTGACAGTAATTATAGGTAACTGTAAACCCCTCAATTTCAATCAGGGCAGATTTTTTTTTAATTGTTCAGTATCTGGAGTAAAAGTCTTCATTTAAAGTGTGGCGTTTGTTATTCTTGTCCAGGTATAAACTCATTAAACTCCTTCCCTGAATAATACAATATGAAAACAAGTAGTAAAATGAGGTTATAGGGAAAGGATATCCCTTCAAGGGGTTGGTTGCTCCTTTAACGAAAGTAAGTGAGAAAATAAACCCTGTTTGGATCGATGCATGCACACACATACACACTCCACAGAGAGAAAGTAAAAATCGACTACCTGAAGTAGTAGCCACATCATTTCCCCCCTCCTCTGAAATGCTTCTAAACTCGGCCCTCTCTCTCCCTGGCCGGGCTGAGTTCCACTATCTCCCCTCCTAACCTTCCCAATGACAGCCACATTGGGAATTGACGCCGAAGCAGACATCCCAACGAACATGAAGATATACTTTCGGCTTTTTTCTCCTATTCCTCTATCCCTCCCTCCCTCCATCCTCCTGCTGCTCTTCCTCTTTGATACGTGAGGGGGTTTTAACCTCTCCAGCTGCTGAGGTTTGGCCGATTGGCTGGCTGGGGGATCTCAAGGCCCTACTTGGTATGCACCGTCCATGAGTGTGTATGTGTGTGTGTGCATGTGCATATTGCCTACACCACAGTTTCTGCAGACTTGGGGAGGGCTGTGCGCCTGATAAGGGCTGCTGGCTGAGTCTGGCTGACCCACGCGAGCTCTTCACAAGCTGTCAGAGCCGTGGCCCTCAGAGGGGGGCCCTTCCATCTGCACTGCCCCAGCAAGGGCTCACCCAGCAGGGGGCCAGAGACGGGTGAGGTCGGGGTGCTACCGGAGCTGGAGGCTGGGGGTGGGGGTGAGAAGGGCAGCTCCATATTCATGAAAGCAACACCAAATCTGTTAGCATTTGAAATGATTGAGTTTCACAATAGTAATGTACACTCTGTGCATTTGGTATTGTTTATTCGCTGACAAATCAGTAAGTACTGTATGTTTGTGCAGGGATTCAGCAGCTATCAAGAGGAAAGCACAATTTCACACGCTCCACTAGCCTTCTTGACACTGTGAGTAAATATAGTAAATCCAGTGATAAGATGTGTTTCCTTCTCAAACAGATGATGCTGTATTTGTCTTATTGTTTCTTATCTTAGCTGGTACACACTTGATGTGCAATCAACTGCACACAAACCCACTCACATCTGTAGGCTTTAGCTCAAGGTTTAAACCGAAAAACTCGCAAATAGCTACAGCGGGTGTACTGTATAGACAAAACAACAAGCACTAAGGCAGACACCCTGCTGCTGACGTTGTTAGCAAAAGAGCACAGACAGTTACAAAGGTTCAGTATGATAAAGGGAGTTAAACAAACGGAGGGAAAGAAGGAGAAAGAGAGACAACATGATGAAAAGGAAGGCTGGGAAGAATCTGCAGTGGCATTCATGATGCTCCCGATGCTCCCGTCCCGCTTCAAACTATGCCCGTCGCCTGTCTTTCTGCCTGCCATCCTATCTGCCAGTTTAGCAGAGAC